CCTATGGTTTCTGCCCATCACACCAGACTGAGCAGAGAGGGCGTGCTCCAAGCCCCATCAGTGAAGTAATGCCACTCAGTGAGTTCTCAGAAACGTGCCTTCTGTGTCATGGTGACTTCTTGTGGAACAGCCTCCCCCCCCCACACACATAAAGACCTGGCTATTCCTCCAGGTAGTGGGGCTAGGGTGTTAATGGAGGTCTGATGAGGGTGCAGGCCTGTTTTATTGTTGTGATATGGGGGTGGGGGCTCAATTGCTATTGCTATTTCTTTTTTATGACATTTTTTACACTTACAGATTGTTATTGTTGTTTTTATTCATTCACGTCTAGACTGCTTTGGTAGATGGGTGGCCATATAAATACGTTAAACCAGCCAACTGACCAACCAATGAGTAAAACGCCAAGGAAGTATATTCAGGAGGAAATTCCTGTCAATATGAGCTATCAGCCCATGGAACAAGCTGCTTCATGAAGTGGTAAGTGCTCCTTCACTTGACATCTTCAAACAGGCTGGATGCCCATTTGACAGAGATGATCCAGTGGATTCTGACCGAGCAGAGGTAGGACTACAGACCTGTAAGAACTCCTTCAACTCCATTATGCTATAATTTATATTCACTCCTTTGCCATGTGTTGGCATGGATAAGCTTAGTCTTAAACCACATATTCAAAACATATTTTTCTAAGCAGATGCTCGCCAGTCATCATTCTTACTTATCGTTGGAGATTACATATTCTCATTCTGTTTCCAAGAATTTGCCAGACATTCTTGGAGATGCCTGGCATGCTAAGCACTCTTATAAACATTTTAGAAATGTATTATTCATGGACACAAAACCTTATTTTATGTTCCTTGGATATTCGGAAACAACCGAGGTTTAAAATCTCTATTTGCATGTACCTATCTGTGCATACGCACACACACTATGTTAACATTACTCCTCAAAGTATACTCCATATCCGACAATGCTGAGTCATAATGCCTTCTGGCATTAGGGGGTCGCCTATAGATATGAAATGTCATTGAAAACTGCTATAGGAAATGGGACAAAATGTCAATTTTAGCTTTATATATCCAAAGCTCACTGAGGCCATGGAGGTCTCCCAGGGAGAAGGAAATAGTTCATGCCTGTCAAGGAACCAGCCTCATAACATCTTTAATATGAAGATAACAGCTCTTGATTACAATCTTTAGGCTACCTGAACTATCAGAGAAGCAAAAATTGTCACTAAATGACTAGATAAATTATTGTGTAGTATGACTGAAATCATGACACCACTGAAATCTTCAACAATTATTTCCTCACTAAAAGCAGGAGAGCCTCTACATTCACCTTTTAGTTTATTCATACTATAAATTGTACTTCAGGGTTATGTGACAAACTACTTTTTTCCCCTGACTTCACAAAAGCTCTATTCAGAGGAACATATAGTGATACATATTCAGGCTTCTGCAAAAATTCAGATGACTCGAGATAGCAGCAAAGAATGAGAGTATTTTGTATATTTGCTGCCATCTTGTTATCATCTGGATTTTTGCAGCCCAAATCTGGCAGTACTACATATATAGGCCAAGTTTATGTATAATGTATATTTCTGAAAGTATAATTAAGCATTACATTTTTATTGCATGTGTAAACAGCCAGATACACAAGCTATGATAATCACCAAATGGCAAATATATGAAGTACCAGTGCAATCTTCTATATAATTGTACCTTCTCTGCATGTTGTGTGTGTGTGTGTGTGTGTGATAGAGAGAGAGATAGCCTTGAACAGTGATCTAAAGATGAACAAACCTTTGTGCAACCTGAATCCAGCAATTTATTTTTCTATCTATCTATCTATCTATCTATCTATCTATCTATCTATCTATCTATCCATCCATCCATCCATCCATCCATCCATCCATCCATCCATCCATCCATCCATCCATCCATCCAATTTATATGCCACCCATCTCACTGTATAAGTGACTCTAGAGAGCTTACAAGTAAGAAGTGGTAAAAATTGATAAAAATCTTTACAAAAATATACAAAGCTAAAAGACAGAGTTGTTTATGGATGTGCAATACATGCTCATACTCTGCAAACAACACTGCAATTCAGCAAAATATTACTAGATAGTTATGGAACAACAAACTTCCTATTCTTCAACTTTTCAGAAAAATATTAAACTATGTAATTAAAAATAAACCATTGTCTTATCTCTTCCATTTGTTTCATGGCTAGAGTTGATGTCATTTTCTTTCTCTAAGTCTTGCTGGAGGATGTTTTAAATGTAATTAAGGACAATTTAATTTAACATTGATTTAAAGGAAAAGTATTATCTTAGACTTCTAGGCCTATGTTCTTATGCCTCACAAAGCCCACCAGCTGTTAACATTTCTTAGCTTTTCTGCCAGCTTTATAAAATATTAAAGTTTACTGTGGGGTTTCTGCTTCTTAAATGATCAATGTCCCTAATTCCTTACTGTTAATTTCTTTTTTGTTGAAGTTATAAATCATCCTAATTTATGTTTTTGTTTCATTTTTTAGTATGTGTGAATATTGTATACAGAGAAAGAGAGATGCTACAAAATATCATTTGATTTGCATTTTTAAACAAAGTAACCAAATTGCACTTCCTATACTAATATGCTGCTTGGAATGTAACCATGCTTCAGACTGAATTCATCTCCTAACTCTGCAATAAGATTGCATAAGAAAACTAATAGAACTGTGCAATACTTTCGACTTCATTTGAATGAGATGCTTTGAAACAGAAGGGATCACAAATGCAGCACCTATCTCTGACCCATTAAAGCAGCCACACCTTTTCCAAATCAAGCATAAAGCACTTCACAAGCCTAAAAGCTAATGTGCCTTTTTTCTTCTTTGGTGCTTTTGAGTCAATCTTGACTCCCAGTGACTGCCTGGACAAATCCCTGCAGTTTTTTGGCAAGTTTTCAGAAGTGGTTTGACATAGCCTCCTTCCTAGGGCTGAGAGAAAGTGACTGGCCCAAGGTCACCCAACTGGCGTTGTGACTAAGGCAGGGCTAGAACTCACAATCTCCTGGTTTCTAGCCTGATGCCTTAACCACTACACTAAACTGGCTCTCTTAATATGCCTTTAGTGTTGCATTTTTTTTCAAATGCAGAATGATGTGAAGGTTTAACTTAAGACTATTGTCCTTCTGTAATTTGTGATGAGTGTTCTCACTTTATCTACAGGAGGGAAGCAACTTTATGGTGCTAGTTAACTTACGCAAAATCCTAGCTAGTGGTTAGTCAACTTGATGTGATATCTCCCATTCACATGTTTACAGTACTTTCATCCTTATACGTACTTGTGTTCACTATTTTTGCAAAAGGTTATATAATTCCACAGTAACAGTATAATGTAGTTCCATTACACACATAATGAATTTACATTATGCAAAATTCATGATGATGAGAAAGTATTCACTCACCCTCCTTTGTAGCCAGGGTCAGTAGTAATCATATGTCTGCAACCTAAGCAACACAGTGAAGTGGGACCTGTGCAGAATTCACATCAATGAGGCTGTCAAGCCACTTGGAAGACCCTCCACCACAAGCAGAACTTTCAAATGACATCTACTTTAAAGAAGTCTACAAGCTTTGCAGTTTCTAGCCGGTGGTTTTCAAGCACCTTGTTAAAGACTGAATATTCAGAAAACTGGTTGAAAAGTGTATTAGGGTTCACCTAGTAAAGATATCATATTTGCTGAGGTAAATCTAAGCTAATGAGCATTCCTTGAATAAGACGACTTCATTTGTTTGAGGACAGAAAATCTATAGAGTCACAGCCAACATCTCCTCCTCCAGTTAATTCTTAAGGAACAATCTTCTCTTACAAAGAATGATGAAAGTTTTAAATAATGATGCAAGATGTTTGCCAAAATCCAAGAAGACTGTAACAGCTAAACAGCCACCCAGTTGGAGGAATTTTAAAAATGTTATCTTAGTTATATGTGTATACCTCATCCCTGGATTAAACATTAAGTAAAACAAGCACTGTGCTTAATGGAAGTGTGTGTGTGGGGGGGGGGGGGGCTCACAGAGTATTTTCCCCTGGCTGTCATGCCCTTAACTCTTTCACTGCCACACTCAACTTTAGTTTTCAGCACTTATTCAGTCTAAATGTTTTGACAGTTAAGCAATGGAAGAGCTGAGGGGCGCCATTGTTGGGCTGTGGTTAGGGCATCAGTTGGCCTTAATCTGGCCCTGGTACACTTATTCTGAAGAAGCTAATTGCAAGGCTACTGAAATATCTGTGTATATTCACTGTTTCATGCAGTGAATGAGTTTGATGATACCTGAATACATATGATCTTTTTTCCCGCTGGAAAAGTTAACTTTAATAATTCCATGCCTTGAGTATGCCAGTAACCAATAGTGTCAGTGGCTTCACAAATATATCTATTGCCCTTCATTAACATACCTTTTATATATCACAGCCTTGAGTCATGTTCTTGTCCATGATATTAGCCTGCTTGGCATAACAGAATTTTGTTCCATAAAAGCAATTAAGATAGTTAATTGCAATCTCTATCCAAAAACAAAATAAACTTCAGGCACAAGGTAAAAATATGTTAGGTTCTATTGATCTCAACAGGAGAGTTAAACCCATGTTTAATGGTGCCTGAATTTCTTAAATTTGGCAGGATTTCTGTGTTCTCCCACATTAGAACTATCATCCCTAGGAATCTGACTTTCCAAACTAATATTTAAATAGAATCTTAGTTATGAAAAGGATACAGACATTGTTTTAGACCTCTAGTGATTCCATTGCCAATCCTCCACCCCCCCCCCAAAACCCAAACTATATACTTTGGGGGAGTGGTGGGGCTGAAATTATAAAGCACTACTATTAAGTTATGCAGTATTATCAAGCTTTAATTTATTGCATTTTCCTACTGGAATGTTCTTACTAAAAATCTCATGCCATAAGTATCTTTCATAATAATGAATGCACCATTGGATTACATAGACATTTTAATTATTACATATGTGGCACCATTTTGATCTTCATTATCTTGGAGACCGCAGAGCTGCATTTTATTCCAGAATCTGTAAAGGAATAAAGAATTCACTTCTTCTAAGCTGTTTTTATTGAACTTCTAGGATATGCATCATGCTAGAACATTTGCACAGTGGGAAATGATCCAAATAGACCGACCTTCCTTCCTTCCTTCCTCCCTCCCTCCCTCCCTCGGCTATGGCTTCAATTTAAGAATATAGGCTATTTTATTTTAGTGAAGAGTTTAAACATTGAGACAGCTGAAGCTTTAGTACAAAAAGATATACAGAGATATCTTCATAAGAAAAAATTATACCAGAATGCAGACCAGTTATTATACCCAAAGATAGATGCACACAAATGCTGGGCCATTGTTCATTTTAACATAAGACTATTGGGAGGACAAGATAAGATTAATTGAATCATTTGCAAGTTGACAATAGGATGACACAGTTAAACTAATTAGGCAAATACAGAACAGCAACTAGAGAATAATTAGCAAGTGTATTAATTTAGCAAAGGAGAGATCTCTTTTTAAACAAAGACATTGATACTGCCCTAGCATACAGCCCGAGACACATCTTCAGTTTTTAAATGAATGATTCCTTACCTTCCTGAGGGACTTGATCCCAGATCTAACGGGCACAGTAACACATCCAAAATATATTTGGCATGATCAGCCAACCAACATTAAGCAACTTCAGATTCCACTGACTTCAATTAAACATGTTGAAGCACAGGTCCAATTCCTGTTGATTTAAATAGGATTTGACAGTGTTTAACTGGATGATATATATTGGAAGTTTTTTTAGATAGAACTCTGTGTGTGCTATGCATGTAGGAAGCTTAAACCAAAATGCTTTTGCAAACTGGTTGATTATCCACCACCTATGTCCAACATTTAATGTAATCATTGCATTTTCATATGTAGACTGATGTTCAACAGAATCATTCTAGTAGGTGGCCTAGAAATAATTGTCATATGTATTTATAGAATGGCCATTCTCAAGACAGTATTACTACCCATAATATTTACATTTAATTTTCATCTGATCTCACTGGTTTACTAACACCATCAGTAACATTCACACATATTGGCTAAGTTCACACAACATAATAAGGTAGGCTAAAAAAGTATTGTTTGTGATTCAGTACGTTGTAGGGTCCTAGCCATTTTTTTAGAAACTTATGTTAAACCAGACCATCATGTTAAGCCATCATGTCAGATCCTGCTTTATGTAATGTAGCCAATATATTTTATTAACTTGGATTATCCCTATGTATTTCTGTTGGTTTGCTTAGATTTGTGTAAGAAAGCTCACCTTTAACCCCAATTCAACGATAACAATCACTGAATTACTTTACTAGTGCATCATATTTGAGGTTGCTTTTACTGTGTGCTCCATCTACATACTACTAAAATTTTCAGGTCTGTAAACTTCAACTGGGCGAAATGGTGCATCATAGGGCAACAATTTTGAACCAACGTATCTCAGATGGGCTAACTTACAGAATGCATCTAAAATCCAGGACCCATTACTCTGATGGAATTGAAATTTGGGAAATTTGTGTCTGCTTCAGCACTGCTGTTCCATTGCGCTGCCTTGGTCAGCCCAGGTCACATGATCATCATTCCCAACCTCTTTCCTGCCTCCCTCTGTCCCCTGCATCCAGTTGGTTGGTGGCCAGGCCCGATGGGCAAGTGGCAATTGGCTGCTTTGGAAATGAGGGCATTGAGGGAAGGGCAAGGGAGCAACGTGGATGCCTGCTGGTGAGGTAGGGCTGGCTGGGGATACCTGAAGTTAATGGGTGAGCCCTCTTCCTCCCTCCAGGGAGGGGATCCTTGGGGACACGGGCCCTTGGGAATGGGGAGTGGGGGTGCAGTTTTCCTCACAGTCCATGGCTCCCTTTGTTCCACTTCCCCAGCAAAGTGGCCAGCAGTTCCATGGGTCAGTTGAGGAGGAGAAGGCTTCATGGGGGTTCTCCTGAGAGTTGTGAGGGGAGGGCAAATGGCACAAGCCTGTATTATATGTGGAAAGGAAGGAAGGAAGGAGGAAGGAGGGAGGGAGATTTCTGATGCTACCTGGCAGCTTCCTACAAGCAAAGTCAATGGGGAAGCCGGCAGCAAATTGCAAGTCGCTCATACTCCCGCTGCTTTTTGCCCCCTTGGTCATTCTGTTTCACTGTTTAGGTAAGGAAAGATCTCTGAAATGATGACCCAACAGGTCACAGGTTGTCTAGCTTGCTAATAACATTGTCTTCAAAAAGTACAGAGAACAAATAATATCACAGGATACACTTTAATACCATATTTACCGCAGCCCTCCATTTGTACCTTCAAGAGGAATACCATATGAGTTAGTTGCAGCAAAAATAATACTAAATCTTGTGACACCTTAAAGACTAACCAGTTTATAATTGCAAAAGCTTTCACGGATCACAGTCCACTACATCTGAAGATGTGTGTGCTGGTCCACAAAAGTTCACACAGTTGTAATTTGGTTAAAGGCCCACAAGATTTTTTGCAGCTTGTTTAAGGAATTCTGAAGCATGAATTAGACGTATAAATCATCTACAGTGAATATTTTCCTACCAGGTACATACAAATCCACTTTCAGCAGAGAAAATACAGTTTAAGGTAGGTGTTTTTCCCCCCGCCCCAACTCACAACTGGTTATCTTCAAGGACTTTCTAGTTGTAAAGTCCAATTCTAGCTTTGCAAATATCAGAAAAGTCTATTTCTCTTATTGCTATTTATGAAAAGCACTATAAAACAGTATTTATTTATTTAGCAAATAAATATGTTATTCACTCCCAAACAGCTCTGGGTGACTTATCACCTATGAATGTTTGAGACAGTGTATACAACAAACACACAATATACTGTATATGAAAACTTCTAAAAACTATCAGCATAAAGCCTTTAAAAATTCTAGAAGGCATAGTAAAAATGCAAACTTTAAATCAAATTTTAGAAACACCATCAAACCAATTTTAGTATTTACGCAGAAAGCATATTTACTGGACATTCCTCATGGAAGCATATCTTTGGAGAATATCTTAACATTATTAAACATTTTCCTATAACCATTGACTTCATTCTTAAACATTTGCCTTGGCTTTTGGAGAGTACCCTGAATTAAATGGGTAACAGATCATGTCAGCTTTAGGAGAATGGGATCTTTATCATAATGGAAGAAAATTGGATCAGTAATAGGACTGAGGCAGAGAAGGTCTGTCTCTGAGACAACTATTTGGAAAACTGAACAATTGCTTGTACTAGCAATTCTTTGCTGAAATACACAGTTCCAAACATTGTGCTACTTAAGTGCTTATTTGGCAACATTTTGATTTTTATTGTACGTAAGGAAAAAAGCTATACCAGGCAGAAAGAAATTGATCCCTCAGATCTGTACATCTTCATTTGGAGGGCATTCTTTGCTATTTATTAGAAATTATGGTCTTTGAATAGTGTCCTGGGAAAAGTAGGACAAAATCTAAATTTGATGTAATTTAATATACAGTTTAATGTTACTTATATTTAAATACAGTTAAAATGATTATTCATACAATTTCCCCTTTCTGACACCTTTCTAAAATGATCATTTGATCAGTTATTCAGTTGAAGCAAAAGCCTTTTAAAAAAAATCCTGATTTTAATTTTCCATTTTCTTTAATTTTCACTGAATGGCATGGTTCGCTCATTGTACTAAACTGTGGTTTCATTTACCAAGTTTATTGCATAAGCCACAATTGGCTCTTTAAATATCTTCAAAACCATAAAATATGGTGTTGGGATGTAAGCAGATGTGAAGCAGAAAAGATACTTCAGAGAAAGCTTTTAGGCTCATTGTGCGCATTTCGGAATGTGTCCTTTTTTTCCTGAGCCCACATAGGAACCATATGGGTCTAGGAAAATAAGTCTTTAAGGTAAAGAGGCACCAACAGGGTGTGACAACGGGCTTCAGGGAAGGCATGGGGGCATGCTGTGTCTCCTTACTTCACTTCTAATGCCTGTTTTCCTGGGATTGTGCAATGGCCATGCGAGCCCAGGAAAAGATGCAGCATTTTTAAGACGGTGCTAACAGATCAAGCAGGCACACTCATGCTCACTCCAATGTATCTTTTCTGCTTGGGATCTGAAGTGCTGCAGATACCAACTATGATAGATGAAGCACAATCTTTGGACTCATGCATAGTGCTACGTCATAACCAGACCAAGCTTGTTTATGGCTCCTGCAATCTAATGCATAACACATACTTCAAGAGGCCTCACTATCAGATTCATTATTTTTGGAAGTGTGGTCAGTGAATGTGGCTCTGCCTCCCTTTCAAGGCCATGCTTTGAAAAAGATTTCTACATGGTTTGGGCCTCATGCTACAGCAACTCCTCTCTTCTGCTCATTAACGTAGCTCGTTTTTTTTCCTGGCTTCTGAGGCTAGAAAAAGAATGACTCAGCTACTTGAAAGAAGCTACTCATTAAAGCTGAGGAAACCCTAAAAGCAGCCACAATTCTTTTTCAGACTTGTGCAGAAGCCTGAAAAAAGTTGAGCTCTTGTAATACACAGCAGAGACGTGCTCTGGTCATGCAAGAGCTAAAGCACTTGTATCTGATTAGTTAGTTAATCTTGGTCAGTGACTAGATCATACATGTACGTACATAAATACATATACAAGACAGAATAAATTGACATAAAATAACCTGCGAAACCTAAAACAAACATACACGTAGTCCTTGTTTAACAGCGGTAATTGGGAGCAGAATTTCTGTTCCTAAGCGATGCAGTCGTAATATCACATGACTGCATTGCTTAGCAACAGCAATCCCGGCAGTCCCCGCTGCCATCATTAAATGAGGATCATGGGTCATTAAGTGAGGACCTCACATGACCACAACTTGCAACTTCCTGCCAGCTTCCAACAAGCAAAGTTAATGGGGAAGTCAGCAGGAAGTCGCAAGTCCCAGGCGGCTTGTAAGCAGGCCAGTGGATGGGTCAATGCTACGGAATGCAGCCAGGTGCAGGGGGTGGCTTCTGCAGCCCAGTGTGAATATGGTTGGGTAAGGGATGGGTGCTTCAGAGGGCATGCAGGAAAGTAGCGGGAGCGGGAGTGACTTATAGAAGCAACTTGTGACTGATGGGGACTGAATTTGATAGTGGACCTGAGTATGTGGAAGTTGTACTTGCATATGAAGACATGGGTGGGGGGCTAGCAATGAGAATGTGTGGATCTGTGACAGAAACTGCATTCAGTATTCTTGTCAAGAGTGATATATTCCTTCCCAATGACATTCTTGTTGAGAGTGATATATTTCTTCCCAAAGACATGCCCATGCAATTTCTAAAGATAGTCATGTACCTTATGACTTCCTTGTAACCCCCTTGCTTGTTTTTGTAGTCTTTTAGCTTTAAATATACTATTTTAATGTTTTCATTGTATCCTTGAAGATAAGAATGGTTGTATGATTTGT